GCCACCACCGCCCAGCGGAAAAATCCTTTTTAAACCTTTACTATTGACATGATTTTTTTTATGAAATTCTGAGGCCTCCAGCACATTTCCTATCAATAGTTTATCGATCTTGTTATTATCTTGTGCTAAAGGGCCTGGCAGACCCATATGGGATCGGATGTGAGTTATATATAAGGGATGCTTCCTATACCTGATTGTATCTTGTAACTTAATAAATAACAAAATTAATTCTGACTCATCAGGGATAAATTTTGCAGTCTCAATATGTAAGACCACACTTTCAGCTCACTTAGAGTCAGTAACTATGTTGAGAGTTTCTGAAAAATCCATTAATACCTTCAGAATAGCATATAATTCCAATTTTTGAACTGAATTATAAGGGCTTTGAACCACTTTAAATTTTCTCCTTTACAAATGGAGAATGCATACTATATGATACTGTAGCTTCTTTAAATCTCCTCAAATCTAACATTTCCACTGGAGTCCTTGAGCACTTGGCACTTTCTTTAAGGTTACTGGGCTGATTAATGTTTGCTGTCTGATAACCTGAGGCTGTTTCTCTGTAACCATATAATTCCACCCTGGGTTAGATTCACACTTAAATTCTTCTGTCTGGGTCTGAATTTCTCTATAATTCATTTTTCCAGGTTTTTCTAAAGCTTTTATCTTGGCACTCAAATTGATCAACCTTTTTAATGCTAAAATAAAAATGATCAAACAAATAATATTCATAATTGACGTTATGTACATCCCATCAACATTAATTATCCTCTCATTTAATTGTTCCATTTTCAGACTGCCTAATGTGTTATCAAACAGAGACCAAATTCCTTCCATTATAAAAATGTTTCCCATGTTTTAATGTGGGGAAAATTTTTCTCTTTTAACTAATTACTCCCTTTATGATATCTTAATTGACTTCCCAGATCTGTCCACTGTGTAGAACAGTAGAAGTCTGAGGGAATTTCAAAGCAGCTACCTAGTGTGGTAGCAGTCCTAGATGGGAATCCAGAGAGAGCCCACCACCCACCAGGAGAGAAAAAGCCAAAGAGACTCTGGCCCACATGTGGTGGAGATCTGGCCTTGTACAGCTCCAGCCTGAGCCAGGCAGCTCGGGCCTGAGCTGGGGGGTCCTCTAAGGCCACAAATAACTTTTTAGTGAATTCTTGCCACAATTGTTGGGTGCCAAGTCTAAGACAAATTGCTAAACGGTCTTATTAACAAAAACCTGGAGCCAGATATTGGGGTAAATTCTGAAAGATCAGGGGAATAGGACAAGCCAAAGTCAACCTCACCTTACTGACCCTCAACTTCCAAAGAGACTTACTTCCTGTATATCCACACCTGTATGCCTTACTGTTCTGCCATCTCATTTGCTCTCAGGCCAACTATATCACTTCCTCTTCATGTTCAGCTCTGTGACTTTCTGTCTGTCTGTACAGACCTACAGACCTTCATGGTTAACTAGTGTTGGAATTTAAGGCATGTGCCACCATGCCTGGCTCTGTTCCCAGTGGGCCTTGAACTCACAGAGATCCAAACAGATCCCTACCTCCTGAGTGATAGAATTAAAGGTGTGTGCTACCATTGCCTGACTTCTATGTTTACTATAGTGGTTGGCTTTTTCCACTGATCCTCAGATAAGCTTTATTAAAATATCACCACAGTAGCCAGGGCTGCATAGTAAAACCTTGTTTCAAGAAAATGAAGAGGAGTTGCCGGGCGGTGGTGGCGCACGCCTTTAATCCCAGCACTCGGGAGGCAGAGGCAGGCGGATCTTTGTGAGTTCGAGGCCAGCCTGGGCTACCAAGGGAGTTCCAGGAAAGGCGCAAAGCTATACAGAGAAACCCTGTCTCGAAAAATCAAAAAAAAAAAAAAAAAAAAAATGAAGAGGAAAGAAAAGGGTTCATTTTTGGTGTACTTAAAAGTGTTTCTGGGCTGGAGAGATGGCTCAAAGGATAAGAGCACTGACTCCTCTTCCAGAGGTCCTAAGTTCAATTCCCCACATGGTGGCTCATAACCATGTATAATGAGATCTTGTGCCCTCTTCTGGTGTGTAGGCATACATGCAGGCAGAGCACTATGCATAATAAATAAATCTTTTAAAAAAGTTTCTGGTTTTGGTGGTGGATAACTACATAAAGTATATTAGATACGCAAAGTGTAAACTTTGAGGTGATGCTTCACAGCAGGTGTTCTATGCCAATTCTAACTGTATGTAAGCTCATCAAGCTCATCTGTAGACTTCCGATCTGGTTCATTTTCGTGTGTGATGTTTTTACTGATTTGAAAGTTTTTAAATAATAAAGTTTATTTTTAAAAGTTTTTATTTATACCACCCAGGTGTGGTGGTATATATCTTTAATCCCAGTACTTGGGAAGAAGAGGCAGGCAGATCTCTGTGAGTTCCAGGCCAGCCTGATCTACTTGGTAAGTTCCAGGCCAACTAGAGCTATAGAGTGAGACCCTGTCTCAAATTTCTTTTTATTTACAACTATGTGTATGTATGTATGTATGTATGTATGTATGTATGTATGTGTGTGTGTATGTATGTATGTGTATATGTATGTATGTATGTGTGTGTATGTATGTGTGTATGTGTGTGTATGTATGTGTGTATGTATGTATGTGTGTATGTATGTATGTGTATGTATGTATGTGTGTGTGTGTATGTATGTATGTATGTGTGTGTATGTATGTATGTATGTGTGTATGTATGTATGTATGTGTGTGTATGTGTGTATGTGTGTATGTATCTGTCTGTCTATCGGAGTGTGTGTTAGCAATCATTAGAGGACAACTTGTGGGAGTTGGTTCTCTCTTCCATCTTGTGGGTTCCAGGGTCTGAAATCAGGTCAACAGGCTGAGTGGAAAGCACCGTCTAAAGTAATGAACAACTTTGAGTCAAAGGACCATGAGAGGGCTAGACCTCAAACTACCATAGAGTATGTGCCGGTCACTCAGAGGAGCTGGCGTATAAGAACAAGCCCTGTCCAAGGTAGCAGAGGGTGGATTCTCTTCTCTGAAGGTCTGGAGCTCTGACTCAGGTTAGGTTCTCAAGTAAAATCACAATTGCAAGTGTAACTTCAGCTGAGAGAGGTGACCTAGAGAACTTCCAATTTCAGATAAGCGGTTTTATTTTATTTTTTAGAGAAAATCCCTGTCCATATTCTGTACTCACATCAGGATTTATTAAACACTGTGAAAAGAAGGATGTAAAATGAGCCTTCCTGGAACCTGGGGACATACATACACACAAGTGGGACTTGGCCAGCAGAGAAGATTATCAACTGAAAATCCCTGAAGAAAAGCCTTGCCTTTGGTGAATATTTTATAAGGGTGACTGTTATGCCCAGATAAGGACCCCCAAAGAGACCACCAGGAGACCAGATATATCCAGAATGCAATAGCAAGGTTTACTTCTTGGCACAATACGAGCTAGCAAGGAACCCTCGTCCGCAGTGCCTGGCGCAGCGAGGCAGGGAGGAGAGTTCCTCTTTCTTGGGGAGATTAGCTTTTGAAGGCAAAAACCACAAAATTCTTCAGAGGAGGGGGTTAGTACGGGTCCACCCTTGATTGGTCCAGTTTTCCTGAGTTTGGACTTTTATCTTATTTTTTGCTCTGTCAGGAGTTTTACAGCCCATCTCCAAAATTTGGTCATATTATCTCAGGGGAGGGGGGCGTCTAGTGGTTAGTTACCACCAGACAGTCTGATTTTGTACTTTTAAAACTTCTGACTTCACCCTGTCTGGGAATGGGGAACTGACTTAGTTCTGGCTGTTTTAAGATGTCCCTTTCCTCAGCTCTCCGGGCCTTAGGGGGAACTGGGGTGGGGGTCTCTCATGACTAAATAGAACTTCTGTGATTTCAGAGTTAGAATTGTTAGCACTCAGGCAGTTACACTGGCCTGCGCAGGGTCCTGACGGAACACGTCATCAATTACAGCGGCTACATCACTGTGTAGTCCCTGTGTGCACGAACTACACCCCCTTAAAAAGCACGCCCCGCCCCTTTCCCAATCCTTTTCTACCTCCACTTCTCCTCAGAAGCCTCTGCTTTCCTTGCCTTCCCCCAGTAAACCTCCCAAATGAGTTCTGTTGCGCGGTGTGACGACTCTCTCCCACTGTTAACTACAATGTCGATGCTATCCGACTTGGCAGGCTCCCTTGGTGGTTCCTCCTGACCCCCAGCAGGCTGAGGCATGCCGGGACCCTGTAATCAGTCTACCTACAACAGCCTCACGTTTCCAACTAACCAGTCACTGGGCTCTTCATCCAACACCAGCAGGATTGGTGAGTTCCCCTTCTCCTGACGGGCATAAACACTTCCCTGGATCCGTGCGAGTGGCTTTTGAGTGGCTGGCTCCTCTCTGGTGTACACGGAGGTGGGAGAACACCCAACCACAGCCTTCAAGGCTGTGGGTGACCCCTCCTCCGACAGTCAGCTCTGGCCATCTCCCATGAGTGAGGCTTCCTCTCGAGCGAGGTTTCTCATCTCTTGGCCCTGCCAGCAAGCCCTGGTACCAGGCAACCACGAGTCTCTCGGGCTCGGGGCCGCTGGCCCCCGTTCCTCTGTGATGACGCACAGGACAGCTTGTGCCTACTCAGCCCTTGGCCTCTGTTCTTCGCATGATGACTCACTCGACAGCTTGTGTCTCCTCAATCCGATCTTCCCTGAATTCCTGGGATGCTGGAAATTCCAGGCCTCTGGATCATATTTTTCTGCCTCATTCATGGGAATTGTGCTCAGTACCATAAGTCCAAGCTCTCCCCTGGAATGCTTCTTGGAAAACCTCAAACCTCTACACCTAGCACCCGACGTAAGGGCTTCTAAACTTATCCACCTTTGTAGTCAGATCTGGCCCCAGTACACCTTAGATAATCAATCAAAGTGGCCGCCTGCTGGCAGCCTAGATCCCAATATTATACAGAAACTTTGCTGTGGCGCCCGCGCTACAACCTGTTAACCATGTCCGGGCGAGGGGCTGAGGATTAAAACAGAGACAAGACAGCGGGTCATTCGTCTCCATAGAATGCCATTTAGTGAAGGGAAGCAGGGGCCTTAAATACAGACTAACAGCACAGTGGAAGAACCTGGGAAGGCAAAAGTTTGCTACTAAAGTTTCTGTTGGTTAAATGGAGGCCATGCCTGGAGGAGGAGAGTGCTGGTCGAAAGAATCTCGAGCCATAGTTACCTTTTTAGAGCTTTATTGGGAGAGAAGGGGGGAGGAGGGGAACAGACGAAGGAGAGAAAGAGCAGAAAGAAAAGGGGAACGCACAAGGGCCCATCTGCTTTTTAGGCTGAGACGCCATCGCAGGCTGGTGACGTAATTAAGGACAGAATCCTTACAGTTTCACTGTCTCCCACCCTAGCTGTTTACTGTGCGGCATACACTAAACAAGGAACCTGTGGTTACCTGTTCTCAAGGAAGGAAGCCGGCAGGAAGTCAACATAGGGAGAACATCTGGTGAAGGTCAGCAAGCAAGGCAGCAGCTACCCAAGGAGCGGGGCCAGGGCCTGACACTTTGCAACTTTTGCCGGTGACTGGGCAAATGGAAGGAGGTACCCTACATCCTTCTTTTAGAGGCCTTTTCTTACCTTAGCTCCAAGCCTTCCCTCTCTTCTTCCTGTTCCCCCACTCACGTCCTCCTAGGCTATGCCGTCTGAACTAGGAAACCCTCCGCTACTCTGGACCCTGCTAACGAGGCCCCCACTCTTCCGACTCAGCCTACAGCTGCTCCTCCAGCTCCTCCAGCCCCTTCCTCCTCTCCCGTAATGGGTCGCGCTAACTGTCTGACTCTGGCACCCACTTTCACTCCCCCTGTTCCCTGCTTTCACTCCACCACGGGACCCCTCCACCCTCTCTACCCATTCTAACCCTGCCACACTTCTCTCTTTACTAGAGGTTGCCAGGGTGGATGGACTGGTTAAGGTACATGTTCCCTTCTCATGAAGTGAACTCTCAAATAGAAAAAAAAAACCCGGGGGTCTTGTACATCTAACTCTGCCTCTTTCATTAAAGAATTCCAATGTATCACCCAATTGTATAGTCTCACCTTCCATGGTACCTGTATGATTCCAGCTAACAACCGACTTCCTGAGGAGGACAGGTGAGTTTGGAAGCAGGCCAGAGCACATGCAGAAGAAATACACCAGACTAACGCAGCACACCCAGCCAGGGCTGAGGCGGCCTCTGACTGGGATCCCTGATGGGACTATAAGACACCAGGGGCCATTCTAGCTAGGGATCAGTTTACAACCTTCCTCCTGGCTGCCCTTAAACCAGTTAACTATGAAAAGCTCCAAGAAATTGTTCAGGACAAACAGGAAATGCATCTCAGTTCTTAGAATTCCTCACAAAGGCCCAGAGGGCAGCAACTCCTTATGACCTACTTCTTTTCTCAGAGCTTCCCCAACATTAGGGCCAAGCTTAAGTGTCTGGATAGGAGACCCTAATCCCACAGGCAGAAGTCTTTTTTTTTTTTTTTTTTTTTTTCCGAAACAGGGTTTCTCTGTGTAGTTTTGGTGCCCATCCTGGATCTTGCTCTGTAGACCAGGTTGGCCTTGAACTCACAGAGATCTGCCTACCTCTGCCTCCGAGTGCTGGGATTAAAGGCGTGCGCCACCACTGCCTAGCCAGGCAGAAGTCTTAGTGCTGGCCTTTAAGGTGTACCATGGGAAAGAGGTAAAAAGCCCATAAACAGGAATACTAAATGCTGGCCAAGGCCGTTCAACTGGCTTTGGTGATTTCCTGGGCTCCCTTGCCTTCTATGGCTTGAGAACCACTGCATTCCTGCTTCAAATGTGGCCAGGAGGGTCACAGGGCCCAGGCCTCCCCTTGTCCCTGCAGGCTCCCCGGCGATGTCCAAGGTACAACCAAGACTGGTTGGTCTTTTGACTGCCCCAGTGGCCTCTGTGGCATGGGGACATCAGACGCAGATCGCCCTGTAGCCAATCTGGCCATGGATGACTGAAGGGACTGAGTTCCCTTGACCTGACCACTGTCATCTCTGACATGGGGTCCCGGGTAGTCATCACGGTCTCAGCTCGGTCCAGCTCCTTCCTCCTGGACACTGGGAGTTTTGGAGACTCACTTCTCCTTCTCATCTCCCTATTGTTGGGTATGGGGACAGCCTTACCTACCTCACCAAACCCCAGCATTTTCAGGGGTATTCCTCTCACCCATTTCTTCCTGATGGTGCCAACTTGTCCTGCCCCCTTACCGGGAAGGGATCTTTTAGCCAAAGTGGGAGCCTCTGTTTCTCCCCCCATTCTCCTGACCCCAGACCTGCCAGCAGCCTCTCTCCTCCTCCACCCACCCACCCCACTCTTTCCAACATGCCATTTCCTCTGCCAGCCTCCCAGGTGGACCCCAAGTCTGAGATTCCTAAAGCCCCTCTGTAGCTAAACACCATTCCCCCATCACCGTTTAATTGCAGGACCCTACCCAGTACATCACCCAGGCCCAGCACCCACTCTCACTCCAGATCTCTGACCTCTTCAGAAAAAAACCACTCCATCCCACGTCTTCTCCCTTTAACAGCCCCATATTTGGAGTTAGAAAGCCCAGTGGGGTCTACCGCCTGGTTCAAGACCTCTGGCTCATTAATCCTGCGGTGGTTCCACTCCACCCCGTGGTGCCTAACCCTTACACACTCCCTTCCACTATCCCATCAGGAACCTCCCACTTCTCAGTCCTGGATCTCAAGGATGCTTTCTTCTCCGTCCCTCGCAGGACTCAGTCTCAAAATATCTTTGCTTCCACCTGGACTGACCCTGACACCTGTGGGGCGTTTACCCACCACCCCCACAGCTTCCCAGAGTTTTCTTGAGTGCAATCAGCAGGAAATATTAGATAGAAGGATTTATAGTGGAGAAT